GCTGCACACTGTGTGGAAGTTTTCAGAGAACTGTCCACAATAACTGCAAGATCTTTCCTGATTTGTCGTAGCCAAATTAGCCCCCATCATACTGTACGCATAGTTGGGGTTATTTTTCCCAATGTGCATTACTTTACACTTATCCACATTAAATTTCATTTGCCATTTTGTTGCCCAATCACTCAGTTTGGTGAGATCTTCTTGGAGTCCCTCACAGTCTACTTCTGTCTTGACTATCCTAAACAATTCGGTATCATCTGCAAACTTTACCACCTCACTGCTTACCCCTTTCTCCAGATCATTTATGAATAAGTTGAAAAGGATTGGCCCCAGGACTGACCCTTAGGGGATACCACTATATACCCCTCTCCATTCTGAAAATTTTCCATTTATTCCTACCTTTTGTTTCCTGTCTTTTAACCAGTTCTCAATCCATGAAAGGACCTTCTCTCTTATCCCATGGCAATGTAATTTACACAGAGCCTTTGGTGAGGGACCTTGTCAAAGGCTTTCTGAAAATCTAAGTATACTAGATCTAAGTATACTAGATCCCCCTTGTCTGCATGTTTAACCCCTTCAAAGAACTCTAATAGATTAGTAAGGCATGATTTCCCTTTACAGAAACCATGCTGACTTTTGTCCAACAAATTATGTTCTTCTACGTGCCTCACAATTTTATTCTTTACTGTTGTTTTGACTAATTTGCCTGGTACTGAAGTTAGACTTACCAGTCTGTAATTGCCAGGATCGCCTCTAGAGCCTTTTTAAATATTGGTGCCACGTTAGCTACCTGCCAGTCATCAGGTACAGAAGCAGATTAAAGGATAGGTTCCAAACCATAGATAATAGTTCAGCAATTTCCAATTTGAGTTTTTAGAACCCTTGGATGAATGCCATCCGGTCCCAGAGATTTGTTAACATTAAGTTTTTCTATTTGTTCCAAAACCACCTCTGACACTTCAATCCGAGACAGTTCCTCAATTCATCACCCACAAAGGATGGTGCAGATTTGGGAATCTCCCTAACGTCCTCAGCCATGAAGACTGAAGCAAAGAAATCATTTAGTTTCTCCGCAATGAACATTAACAATTAAAATATTGCTGGAACAGAGCTTAATGAGGGAAAAGAACATTCATGTACATTTTACCTGACCGGTAAAAGCCACATGCTGTGTGTGATGCTATGGTTTTCCTTAATGTGCCTCTGCCTCTATGCCACTTGGAGTGTTTGGGAGGGAGGTTGTATGTAGGTGATGTAATGCAGTTCTTCATGTATTGCAAAGGGAGGAAGCAAGCCCATGAATGTTGAATTGAGGTTCCACAAGGATTTGCAGTATCTGTGTTCGTTGCTCGAGAAGCCCTATTATTGTCTGTGCATCTCACTTTCCTTTTCCTGCAGTGACTCTTGGACTTTTCTCTGGTCTGCTCTTTTCTTCTCCGGGTTGTCTGCAGTATTGACCCTCCAGGCCCTTTGCTCATGGCTTGTTGTAGCATTGACTTGTAGGATCTCAATGAACATGCTATCCCAAGTCCTTTTCTTTCTCCTCCTTACCTACCTCAGGTGTGAAAGGGAAATCCCTCAAGGCTGCTGCCACAGCAGCAGCAAATAGAACACACAAGTACTATGTCCACATCGCCACAACAATAAGTGAAATTTTATACTCCGAACACCATTCCTTTGCTCCTTTGTAGTTTTCAACAAGATGTGTTTACTGACACTTCTGCTTCTGACTGTGAGCAGTGCTACTCTCAGCAGCAGCTGTGGTGAGTATGACCTGCCAGGGTGAAAAAATGAAGAGGGAATTGCTAAGTTGCATGAAACTGAGTATAGGGCAACAATGCTCTATATGTTGGCACTGGTTTCTGCAAGTGATGATTTTAACTAATCTCACTCAGCAGGATAACAAAGGCAGAGAAAGCAAAGTTGCTGCTGGCATGCTGAAGCTGCCAGGGCCTGTATGCTGCTATAGTTCCTGCCAACGTTATTGCTGACTGACATGGGAAAGTGTCATACTGTGGAGGAAGAAATAAGGCTGCCATATCTAGAAACCTCGAAGTGGATTACAGAACAGCTCCGTGAAAGTTTTATTGAGCTCTCTAATTAGAATTTAGTGTACATTCTTATATACATTAAACTGCTCCTTGTGATACCCCACCCTTGCTTAACTTTACAGGAGACTGAAAAGCCGACAAGTATGACCTCCTTTGTTGTACCAATCCATTTTGTAGTACACGTAAATTAACAAGTTTATAACTTTGTCCTGTTAAGTCGGTTGCACCATCACTGCAGTGGGACATACATTTGTTTCTTGAGGATCCTTCCCCTGCATCGGGCTCCCCCAGGCTTGACTAACTAGACCAGGTCCTGGCTCATAGCATAAGCACCCGGTCATATGTCCCCGTCCTCATCCTTACTGTTCATGCAGGGGCATGTTACTCAGGCTTCTCAAAAATATTCATCTTGATCTTTGGGGCTGACACAGGACTTCTCCAAGTATGGCATTCTGCTCTTTATAAAAGTATTAGGTCTGCGAACTGGCACCAGATTGACAGTCCATTTCCCTGGTGTTCTGATACACTTGACAAAATTCCTCCGCTTTCACTTGGCACTGATGCTGATCCCTTTTGTATGCCTTCTGCATTCTCCGTACAATCTGCTCCTAGGTATCTGGGCTATAATTGTGCTTGTGCAGCCTCTTCTCAGAGGCTCAGGACATCTACCATCTCCTGTCTGTTCCATGCCAAAGCAGGTCTGGAGTGTGTAACCAGTGTAGTCATCTGGCTATAAATGACACACATTTAGAGATACAGAAGCATACAGGAAGCCCCCAACTTAGGAACGGGTTGTGTTCCAAAAATTCATTTGTAAGTCAGTTGTTTGGAACTCAGATCTTGTGTTCCCATAGAAACAATGTTATAAACGGTGGTTAAATTGCCAGGGTAGCCCACAAAATCTTATTTAAATTGGATGCTAGTGCTTGAGGAAAGGCTTGATTTCATAGGTAGAAATTTCAAAGAAGACTTCTGGGCATCTCCCTGCTGCAATGCTAGATTCATTGTTCTGTGTGACCAGGGCTATTAGATTTTTGGGAGCCTCTGAGCTCTGGAAAGTGGCCTACACTGGGGGGGTTCAGCGTGCAGGATGGGGCTGTAGGTTGAGGCAGGGGATTGCATGCGGGAGGGAGCTAGGGCTCTGATTGGGGCTGCGGATGAAGCATTTGGGGTTCAGTAGGGGTCTCCACACTGGGCCCCAGAGGTTGGAATTTGGGAGGGGGTTCAGGGTCTAGTCAGAAGTTAGGGTGTGGGAGGGGGCACAAGGCTGGAGGGGAGGATTGGGACACTTGCCTGGGGCAGTTCCCCTTTGATAGTGCAGGCCTGGGGGATGGAAGTGGCTCTGGCAGTCTCCATTCTCATAGGCACAGCCTCCAGTGCTCACTCATGGGGAGGCTACAAGCAGTATGAGCACAGGCCAGAGGACTCCAGAGGAGAGGGGGAAGACAGTGGTT